GAGTTCGAAGAGGACTTACTTTATAGACATATGGGCTAATATCGGACCTATGGGCTTGGACTGGACTGGGTTGGGATCATTTCTTAATACACAATTACCCTTTATATAAAACTTTCTGTTACACACATATGCGTGTTTATGAATTTGTTTCTCTAGTCGACGCAGACAAACACACTCAGTGACCCATTGGATTGTTAGAGTCCCACCCAAGGTGAATTACAGCCTGGACTTCCCCATGCCCAATCTTGTTTTCTATTTCTTTTTCTTTCACAGGAGACAGGTCAGGATCCTGGTGCAATGGGCTTCCTGCTCAATTTTGCGCCTTTCAAGGGCATTCATTTCCCTGCCACATCACACAGCTGCCATAAAGTTATATTTATTAGTGTTCGGTTCTAGAGAATCTCAACTGGCTTACCTTCCAAGTAGACTGGATTTTGTGTCTTTATCCTTGAGACAGGCACCAAATATCAACAAGCAACAACAAGCCCAGACATTTTCCCCACTAGGTTCTATTTTATCTGTTACCTTATTTTTGTGTATCTTGACAGTATTATTCATCTTCATTTTAATAAATCCTCACGATAATTGACAATTGTCTAAAACTTACAAGGGTGAGACAAAAATAATTGTTTCAAAATCTAAAAGTGAAACAAAGCTATTCTTTATTGCTATAGCCTTCATTTGGGTCTGGGTACATTTCCGAAGGCAGTATTCAATCCCTCTCACCTTTCCCCGAAGAATTCAGAGCTCCTTGATTTATACCACATCAAAACAGCATTTTGGCATCCTTGAGGGACTCAAATTACCTTCCTTGAAAATATTCTTTAAGTTTATTAAACAAAGAGAAGCCCAAAGGGGCAAGAACAGACCAATAGAACAGGTGTGGTAAGGTTTTGCAATGAAATGCTCAGATAGCATCCCTGTTTACACTCAAAGATGAGCAGGCACCTTGATGTAATGTGGGGGGAAAATTCCTTGGCACAAATTTCCTGTCCTTTTCTTCATCAGCACGCTTTTCAGTTTTCTTATAATTTCTTTCTAACAAACCCCCATGATTGATCTGTTGTGGTAGTCACCTAATCTGGTGTCAATTTAAGGATTAAGAGTGTAGGGGTGGAGTTTAGGCTGTCAATCTGAAGATAGGCAATGGGACTTCTGTGTGGGCATGGCCTTCTCCTGAGAATTCTGGGAAATCCACTACTTCCTCCTTGGAGGCAGAAGACACCTCTCTCTCTGCTACTCCCTGAGAGACATTGCAGAAGACAAGCCACATGGATGCAACCAAACCTCCAAAGCTGGAGAAGCCACCGTGAGACCCCTGCCAGCACTGAGATGCTTACCACGCCACTGGACCCAAAGACTTCCCACCCACTGGCCTGTGATCTTCTGCATGCGGCTTCATTGCATGTGTTTCGTGAGTCTGAAGAGGACTTTATAGACTGGTGTTAGACATATGGGCTAATATCAGACTTATGGCCTTGGACTGGACTGGGTTGGGATGTTTTCTCAATGTTAAATTGCTCTTGTATATAAATCTCTTTCTTATACACATATGTGTGTCCATGGATTTGTTTCTCTAGTCTACCCAGACTAATACACCTGTGTACATCATGAAAATGTATCAATATCATCCTCTGGCGCAGCCAATTATATTTGCCCTGCTTACCTTGTAGGGCTGCTGTGAGAATCAATGAGAGAACCTGGAAGAGTGATGTAAAGTAAGGTATCTGATTCACATGGTGTCAAAAACAAGTGATTTATTTGAATATGTTCAAAGTTCTATGCTTTTCCTCTGAAATGACAGGTATAATGTCAATTGCCGGAGATTCTATTAAGGAGTGGCCTTTCTGAAGTGCATTTCAGCCCTTGGGGCAGAACTGAAGGAGCTCCCTGAATTCATATGGTGTACGTCTCACTCCAATACCAGTGCAGTCAAGGTCCAGTCAACTGGGGCTCGTGGCCACTGTGTATGTGCTAGAGTAGAACTGTGCCTCAATGTCTTTAATGACTGATTTTATGGTAGTAGACCTTTCATTGAACTACCTCTCTGTGGGCTCAAACCCCCAACTTCTCAGTTCCTAGTCAGGTGGGTTCACCTTTTGCACCCCTCATGGACTCTTCAGTCCAAATAGAATTGAGCATACATGGTTTATAACAAAATGGTTCCCCCAAATTTGTCATTGAAAAATTATGTTTCTTTAATTGAGGGTGAATTCATGTTATGTGCAGGACTACGAATCCTGTGATAGAATTTTCTGTCACACGTTCTCTTTGTTTTTATGAATGGCGATGATTTCACATTCTTTTCTCTGAGCTGTGAGACTGTGCATTTCATAAGACATACAGTTCACAGAAACATCTGGGAAGTGGTAGAAGATGCACTCAGACATTCCCCGTTCCTTCTTCCCAGCCCCAAAGCAATCGCACAGCTCCACCGACGCTGCAGTCATGCCTGGTGGAGTAAGGCTCTCTCATGAATCTTTCATGAGCAGTCATGCTGGCCTGGGCTGTGATAAGACGACTGGACGGGAGATGGTGGCATTACCGTCTAACTCAATTCCAGTTTTATTAATGGGATCACTGCAAGTTCCAGCAGCTAAATAGAAGGCAAAAGGTGAAGGAACGGGGGGAAGTGGGACTCCTACATCATTACTTACTAGCTGAGCAGCATGGCCTTTAAGTCTGGAACTCCGAGGTACCAAGTTCTCACGTTAAACCTATGTTGGATTTTCTTTTTCTTTAATTAAAAAACTAAATAGTAAATACATATGAAATCAATGTATACCAAGTATGAGAAATAAAAGTAATAACAAAGTAAACATTCACTATGGCATTGAACAATAGTGATATTTTCTTTTTTTTTTTAATATGGAACGCTTCATGAATTTGCGTGTCATCCTTGTGCAGGGGCCATGCTAATCTTCTCTGTATTGTTCCAATTTTAGTAAGCGAGCACCAATAGTGATATTTTCGATGCTTCTGGTGTGCCCTCTCTGGCCCCATTTCTCTCTTGTTCTCTCCTCGAAGGTAATCACTGGCCCAAAATTTCCGTTTCTTCTTTTAATATCTCTCTGGTTTGCCACATAGGAACCCTGGTGATAGATTTTCCCCATAAGAGTCTTGAACATCTTTCCAGCTCCCACTCCCTGACCCGGGACCCTCTCCGGAGTTGGATAACTTGTCATCACAATGCTCAGCACACCATTTTACTGTTACCTCTTTACAGGACTGTCTACTCCACTCCAACTGTGAATTTCCCGAAGGGAGATCCCTGTCATTTTTCAGGCTAAGGGACTATGTATATCTAAAGAAGTCGTGGGTCTGATTGAAACACCTCAGTGTCAGCACAAGGTTGTCTGGGTTTGAACTAGAGCTTCGCCTTTGGTCAACTAAATGGGAAAAGTTACTTGGTCTCCTTTTTCCTACCTTGTATCACTTGTAAAATAGGAAAGAACAGTAGTGTCTATGTTTATAGGGTTGTCTGTGAGACTGAAAAGGGTGTGTACATGAAAAGTGGTATATGGAAGGGATTCCATGAGCTTTACTACTACACAGTCCTTGTTATTGCATATTGCTATCAGACCAGTTATACTATGGGAAAGTATTTATTTTTATGCTTTTTCATTGACTGTACACTGTCGAGGGCAGATACTACTCTTATTTAATATGTTATTCTCAGAACCTTGCGATGTATTCAGTGTACACAACAGATGCTTTCTCCCTGTTAAATGTATTAAACAAATGTATCGTTTAATACATTGACTGAATAGATCTGGGTGAGAAAGAGGCACCAGGAAGAGAGCGCAGGAGACACGCTTGCTCTCTGGGCACACTAGGTGTGTGCCCTGGAGGAGGAGAGGGGATGGTGGAAGCAGAGCTGTGCACAGGCTGTGTTACATGAGCAGCAAGATGAACGGAGGGTACAACAGAAGCCACAGGTTAGAGGGTTCTTTTGAGTACCCGCACTGTGAGCTTTTCTTATTCCGTGTCTCTTTGCATGCGATTTGAAGCTTAACTGACCTTCACATCCAAAATCTCAGTAATGAATTCAACTCATTTTTGAACAGAAGGTGATAAAAGTAATACTGCACACATGGAAAGTAGAAGAATTAATGAAGTAATTAACCTTGGCCAGCATGTTATATGACCCTGGTCCAAGGATCAGATAACAAAACAAGAAAAAAATTCCTGAGCCTAGGTTTATGATCAATGAGCGAAACGGGTAGGTACTTAAAAATCATGCTCAAAGGGCAGCACCAGAAAAAGCTATATGGTATGAAGACTCAGTGACTCCATAGGAAAAAAGTGGGTTGAAATTTGGGCTGACAACTGCGGCATTGCGAGGACAATTCTGCTGGAGAAATCAAGCAACAATTCCTTTTTGTCTTTTTCTTTTCATTTCTCCCTTTCTCTGGCTTCTCTGCCTGTTCCTGCATGAAACATTTTATTTTTCGCCCCCCATGAGAAGCTCGGAATGACCCTCTCCTATGTGTCTCTGATTCCCGTACCTCCTGACAGCAGCCAAGAGAGGCTTCCTGGTGTTGATGTAATTCAGGAAACCCCCAGGGTTCCAGATATGACTCTTTGCTGACTTACGCAGCTCCATCGCAGGTATGGTTCCCCACAGCACTACGCACTCCTGACCAGACCCCATGTTCTTTCTCTGTGTTCAATAGTCTTACTACTGATATCTTTCTTGAAAAACTCAGAACGAATCTTAAGTTTGGCGGAACTGCATGTGCAGAATCTTAGACTCTCTGTTTCCTGGTGCTGCTATAACCCAAGTACCACAAGCGGGTAGCTTTGAAAAATAGGATTTTATTTTCTCGTATGTAGGGGGCTAGAAGTCCAAATTCAGTGGGTAGCTCTTGGGGGTGGGGCCTGGGGTCCTTCTTTGTTTCAGCACCTAGTAGCTGGAAATCCTTGGTTTCTTCTTATATGAGAGCTCATTTGATAAGGAGCTCAAAGAGGAGCTTATATGGAAGGAGTTCCATCTGTATAAGAAGTGATTAGTTGTAGACAAGGCTTACTGCTTTGATAGAGATTGACAGCCTCTAAAATTATAGTCTTTAGACATAGTCCTTCAAGCCTGGAACTGAACTCACCACGGTGACTTAACATCCAGGCAAATAATAAACAGGTTTATACCGTTCAAAATAACACAAGGGAGGTGTTATTAGAATAATCAACTTTAGAAAAATCAGTCAGACTGATTTTTTTCTGGTGGAGAAATCAAGCAAAGGGATAGTATCAGTTCAGGAATAAAGTTCAGAAGGCAAGAAGGGATAAGAAAGAAAGAAATGGAAAAGGTCAACACAAGGAGGACAAAGAAGATTGCTGGTACATGGTGGGCATTTCCATCACTGTCACAAAAGGAGACATATAGAAATATGGTTGGGACAGACAACCGAAAAGTGGGTGAAGGGAGACGTCAGACAGGGCAAGATATGACAAAATACCCATTTATAAACTATCAAGGGCTCATGCGGGAGGGGGTAGCGGGGAGGGAGGGGAAAAATGAGGACCTAATACCGGGGGTTTAAGTGGAGAGAAAATGTTTTGAGAATGATGTACAAATGCGCTTTACACAATTGATGTGTGTATGGATTGCGATAACAGTTGTATGAGCCCCTAATAAAATGTTTTAAAAAAAAAGAAATATGGTTGAATGGAAACGAATGTTTACTCAAAATACAAAAGGTGATTAGATGACTCCCACACCCTCCATGGGCATCGCCTTGCTGCTGTCAGGTGCTGTCGAGCTGGCTCTGGCTCAGAGCGCCATCCTCACATTTATCCTTCGGTGTGAGCCATCGATGGAGTCGCTCTGTCCATCCATCTTGCCGGAGGTCTTCCTCTTTTTCCCTGCCTGGCTTCCTTACCAAGTATGATGAACATCTCTAACAACATGGCCTTATTAGCATAAAAAACCCTATTTCCAAATGGAATTTCAACACATACCTTTGAAGGAAGCAAAACAATCCATAACTGAGCTTGAGGAACTTTAGTTTATTAATTCAGTCCTACTATTCCACAGCAAGAGAGCAAGCAGAACCTAATGGACATCTTTAATTCATTTGAATGACTATTAAACAAGATATATGCATCGTTACGACTCAGACACTGTGCAAAACGCTGGGTATCAGAGGAGGATCTCTGCTCGTAAGTCACCCGCACTGTGGTCAGAGGGGTGGACACAGAAACAAATAAAACCGCTACAATGACTTTCCTGCTCAAGTAGAGCCCTCTCCTAGTTATATTTGCGGGTTGGGGAGAAGTCATCCACTCTACCAGGCCTTTGGAAACCAAGAGAAGCCTTCACAGTTGAGGCAACATCCTGAAAGGTGGCAGGTATTTGCCAACAAGATAAGAAAGCACAGGAATCCGGGCCAGCAGAAGGCGTGTAGCTGTATGCCCAGGACAATGCAAATAGTTCAAATAAGTCTGCGTACCTAGAGTATGGAGTATCTGAAGGTACGCAGCACAGATTATGGCTGAAGGAATGGGCAGGGACTATATTTACACAGCCTTTACATACAACTCACAAAAGAGTTTCAATTTGAGGGGCTGATTTTTCACCATGTAATATTTCCTTAAGAGATCTGGTGGCATAGCAGCTATGCATTGGGCTGGGATCCTAAAGGTTTGTAGTTCAAAACCACCAGTGGCTCTGTGGAAGCAAGATGAGGCTTTTTCAAAAAACTCCCTTTTCACTCCTGTAAACAGTTATAGTGTTGGGAACTCACAGGGGAAGTTCTATCCTGCCTTAAAGGGTCATTGTGAGTCAGGATCGCCTCTAGAGCAGTGAGTTTGGTTTTTTGAACTTTTTAATGAGTTTGCAATTATTTCCAGCAGTTGAGAGGTATTTAAGGATATACAGCAGGATGACAGCATGTCTATTAAATTTACTTCTCATTGGGAGGATGCAGTACATAATACAAATGAGTGAATTATACAGTGTGTTAAGAGCAAACATGCTGTGGAAGAATATAAAGAAGGTTAAAAGAGGTCTGGCGTGCTGGGTGGAAGAAGTATTATAGTCTTAAATAGGATGGTGTAAAAAAGCCAAGCAAGGGGGAAGGAAAAATCAAACTCTACATCAGCGTTGCCCAAGGCACATTTCTAGGAGACTGAGGTCAGATATGTCCCACCTTACTAATTCTGGCACCAACTGTCTCTCTAGCCACCCTTTCTACTATTCAATTGTGTTCCATAATTCATCGCAATGGTCACAGGCTCTTGATATAATTATTTATTCAGGACACCCTCTTTTCAGCTGTTCCCACAGGCAGTGCTCTCTCTGGTACATGCCCTCTCAGCCACTGAGCCCATTGGTTTCTGTCCTGCTCATACAATGTTACAAATTTCTTTTAGGGCTGCCAATAAATGCCCAAAGGGCACACCACTCCACCATAAGCCTCAGCCCAAAGGCACTCAGCTCTAGCTCCAACTCACTGCCATCAAGTCAATGCTGACTATCCAACCCTTTGTGGGCTTCTGAGATGGTAACTGTTTATGGGAGTAAAACGCTCCGTCTTTCTCCAAAGCAGCTGCTGGTGGTTTTGAACTGATGATCATGCCGATCACAGTCCAATGCATAACCACTATACCACTAACGTGCCTATAACTCCACGGGTCAGCAAATCTAGTTTAAGTGCCCAGAAGCACCCTATTCTATAAGCTGATCTCATGTCTAAGGGAAAGCTTTACTTGCTCTGTGGGCAGGAAGTTCACCACTTTGTCTCACGTTCTGGTTCTTGGTTCTGTAACTTCAGTTCCTCTGGTGTCAAATCTGTCCCCTGGGTCAAGGAAGTTCAGTGTGCAGGAATCTCGGAGTCCAGAGCACATAATCCTCTCCTGACACTTCTCTCTTGGTAGTAATAAGAACTCCCCTTTCCTGATTCTGAGGAGCTCTGGTTCTTAGTGTTGTAGGTCCCATGTTGGGCTGCGGACCATAAAGAGCTAC